TTCCAAGAGCGCCAATCCATGATTGACATCTTTGCATCACTGCCAGTCAAAATTCCAGGGTCCGCAAAACCTGTAATGTAACCACCGGTCGAGCTCAAATCTGGTCTGTTCTTATGCCCTGCATCGCCAAAATGAACTGCCACCAAATCACACCACTCCAGTTTCTTGCTGCGGCCAAAGTTAAAGGAATGATAAACCAGGTTCTCTTTTGCTGTCTTTCGCAATTCCTTCATGATTGAATTTGCCTCCTTCAAGCATGAAAGTGTCGGCTTAGACATAGCCGATGCTGCAAGACCTACGCGCGCACAGTACTGTGGCGCACTCTGAACTGCTCGCCACTGCGCCTTCATGATGAGACCACGGCATTGCGTGGTCTCTTTCGGGCTCAAAGCATCTGATTCCGCCCGCTTCAATAAGTTCTCGATTACCACTGGCTGCAGAGAATTGCAAAAGGCTTCTTGCGAAACTGTCACTGTGAAGTTTCTCAACTGCTGCAACTCCAAGCCTGCAAAAGTAAACGAACCGATTTTCCAGGGGCTCCACTGATACATTGCTTTGATCTTGTTCCTGTATGCAATCCAGTCGGGATCACGCATGTCTCCCGCTATCAGGAAATCGTCCACATGACTGCCAACCCTGCCGCAGACATGTCCATGTCTATTCTTAAATACCCAGCAACACTTCTCCACTGCATGAGGTACACCTCCAACACGCCGCAATTTTGTATCTGCATCCAGCCAGAAAATTCGGGGGGCATTGGTTAAACGGTAAATTGCACCGACAACCTCCAACAGTTCCCCAGGGCGAACGCCTAAAGAATATGCTAACTCCGGTACTGCGTCAGTAAACAACCGTTTGGTACCAATACCCTCATCTGACTGTAAAAAGGCTGATTTTGCATCTGCAGATTCCAATACGTGCTGGTCGAAGGCACATGCTTGTAGGATCATTGATCGACCCAATCTACTCAACGTAGGCGCCGAAGTCACCAGCTGCGGCTTGCCGGTCCGGTTGTCCCTCTTCGCCAGGTCCGGATGCCTGTAGCCTGGTGGTGGCTCAGGATCTGTGAGGGGCTTCCAGGTGAGTAGCCACCGCATAGGTACATACCTTGCTCGCAGTTCCTCCTCCGGTACATGTTCTTGGATAGCACGTAGCACTTGCGATCGTAGAACCTCCGACACCTCCCGAGACATGGCCTCCTCCATGAGTTTCTTATCCTCCGGTAGTAGAGCTCGAAAGTTCACCTCCTTGCTCGGGCCCAACAGCATCTCCTTGGTGTAGATGTAGCCACCGTTGATCAGGCCCTGGAAGTCGTTGATGTTGAACTCCACCACGCACGTGTCCTCGTAGGTGTTCTCCTGGAAGACACTCATCGCGTGTTCATGCAGTTGCCGTTCACTCCGAAGTTGCCGTTCAAATTCTTGGCGTAGCTCTTCTCGTTGTTGAGTAGCTTCTACCAAAGTCTCCAGCTCATTGATCTTCGCCACAACCATCTCATAGGATTCCTCCGTGATCGCCACATCGTTCTTTTCCAGCGAGTAGACCCGTGGTCTTCCCCTCGTTGTTTTCGATGTTGTAGCACGAGGATCAGGTTCTAGAGGCTGAAGCTTGAACTCAGTCTTTCCAACCCAGTTCCATGGTAGTGCTTCATGTGGTTTCTTGGTCTTGATCCAGTTGTCGCGGATCTCGCCTTCCTCCAAGCCGTTCTTCCAGAAGGTCACTCTTTCTCCAGTGAATCTCTTCTCTGGCATGGGCTGATCTGCAAAGCCAATCGGGCTGCACTTTGCCTGCCGGTACTGGTTGTGGTGGCGGATCAGCACCATCCTCTGTTCATCAAGTTCCCAAACATCAGGTCGACCTTCTTTCTCGTAGTCCTTGGGAAGCTTGAGGTAGGGTGGTAGACCCTCCTTCTTCCGGTTCTTGTTGATCGACTCCAGCCGGGTCCACCGCCGAACTTGTTCCTCCACACTCAGCTTCCTCTCTTCTGACCTACTCCGAGATCTGCGCCGACCTGCTCGTAGTTGCTGTAGTCGCTGCTCCCACTTGTCCACAGCTTGACGTAAGCTATCTCTCCATTCCTCCTCCGGTTGGGCTTCTCCAGGATCACTTTCCATCTCGTCCTCATCCAGGTCCGGTGCATCAGGTAGTCCATCGCCAACTGGTGGGTGTCCAGCTTCCTTGGCCACGTCCACACACGATGCCAGCTTCTTCAGGAGCTCCGTGATGGGTGTAAACGCCTCCACCGTGACGTCCTGCTCAGTTGCCATCCGGAGTTGTTCAGGCGCACACCGCCAAAGTTCTTTACCCATCAAGACCCAGTAGACACCGGTCTTGCCTTCTGTTAGTACAGGTGGTTCTATCAAAGCCAATCTCCCAGGTCCAATGAAACGAGGTTCGGGATTGAACTTTCGTTTCCTTGCTTTCAGCGTAGCTGACCTCCAGACGCAAACCCAGTCACCGACCTTGAAGTCCTTGTCTTGTCGAGGTGCTGCATTGTTGAGCCGCGTGAACTGCTCCTTGGCCTTCTCCTGCTTGTGGACTTCAGCCGCTCGATCTCTCATCTTCTGAAGGTCCCAAAATGTTCCATCTCCGGTGTTCACGTCCAAGGGGTCCTCCTCCTTTTCGCGTAGTGACGAAGTGTCCACCCCGTAGGCCCACTGGATCGGCGAGTAGCCTTTGACCTTGTCGTGGTGGTTCTCCGCATGTGCTGCAAGGAAGCCGCAGACCTTTGGGTCGATGTCCGGCTTCTCATTCCGCAACCTTTTCATCGTGTTCTTCGTCACCCTGACCATTGATTCCATGGTTCCATGTTGCCAATGAGCTTCTCCAGGTGTGATGGTCAAGCCGATGCCCGCTGACTGCAAGAAGTCCGCCATTGATCCCGCCGCCAGTGAGGTCTGGGGATCCACCACCACCCATTCTGGTCGAGGTCGATGTAGAAGCCATCCTTCTGCGAAAGCCTGGATGAGCTCGATGCCAGCGTCTGTGCCCGACTCGTTCGGTTCTCCCCGCCACGTCATCTGGACTGACGTGAAGTGCATCGCCATGCAAGACATGACCAAGTACCTGGCCTTGCACTTCTGCGCGGGGAAGTGAAGCTCAAAGACGTCCGCTCCACCTGCCAAGGCTTGGGTTTGGTGCCAAGCGCTACTGGCACCACCATCTGGCCTCCTTTCTGCGTCTCCACGCATGCTTGGCACTTCAAGTCCATTGCCTCCTTGATCATCCAGTCTGACATTCCGCGGTCTCGACACAGCTTTGCCAAGGCCCGGTTCGAAGGATGTCCTGCTGCACGATGCAGACGATGTAGTAGTTGCCGTACTTGTTCACGAGCGTCATCCAAGATGCCCTCCTGCTCCACCAGCATGTAGGTCTCCTCCATTCCACACATGGCCTGCAAAGACTCCACCACCTCCGGTCGAATCTGTTGAGCTTGTTCTCGTTGAAGTTGAGACCTCCAGCACCTCGCGATCTTGTCCGGCCGTCGAAGCCACCGTCTCGGCGCCGAGTCCCAAAATGGGACGGTGGTTGTGGCTCCCGTCGCATAGCCTCCTGCACCTGTAGTGAAAGTCCTGGTCGTTGCTCATGATGACCCAGGCTTTCTTCAGAGGCCATCCATCTGGGCTCTTGAGGCCGTACATGCAGCCGTGGATCTCCGTGAAGTAGAGGTCCATGTTCAGCTCTCTGTCCTGGAACTTCTGCATCATGGGCAACCTCCAGCCTGCCGTTGCGCCTTTGGGCCATTCCCAGTAGATCTTAGTCCATCCGCGTCCCAGCTTCAACGCCTCCATCGCCACCTCCAGTGCTTGTGGTACTTCTCGATTTGATGTCAACCGCTTCTTCCTCAGCTTCTCTATCTGGTCCGGCGTGCGTTGATTGATGTTCTGGATGGACGTGTATGCCGTACACCGCAGGCTGAACCACATTCTCTTCGGCATGGATTTTCTCATCTCACTCTTCAGCTTCATGGTCGTCTCGACCTTGCCGATGTCATAGCCGGTCTCCAGCGTCTTGCGCTCCGCCTTCATCTTGAATCTCAAGCATGAATTTGTCAAAGAAGAATCCGCTCTGCAGCAAATCTCCCACAAAGTACTCGAAAAGGTAAAGTCCTGCAGGGCACTCAGAATAGTGCCCACATTGAATTCTCCGGCCGCCTCTAGCAGCCGCTTCTTGGTCCTGGCGTCCAGGACCCTCTCCTCACTCTCACTCCATTCGCCCCCTAGGCGCTGCCATTCGGCTGCACCTCCTCCTTCTTGACCACCTTCTCCTCCTTGGGTGGCACCTTCTCCTCCTTCAGGTAGTGTTCGTCCTTCAGCAGCTCTTCCTCCTCTTCGGTCTCCTCCTTCTTCTGGGCGACCTTGGTCATGGGGAAGTCCTGCGCGTCCTGGTTTGACTTGTCCATTGTGCGCTTCACGTCCTTGTAGCCGGCCTTGTGTGGGGGCTTCATGAGCTTCTTCTCTTGAGCCACCACCTTGATCATGGCCTTGGGAGGAAGAGTCATCCTGGTGGGAGGACCCTGGAGGTGTCTACGCGGTGGACCATGGACATCATCACTGGCAAGAACGTGAGGAGCCCAACAAGAGGTGGAGAAGACGAAGACCGAGCTGGAAGCCCTCCTGGCAGACAACGAGCGGAACCTCATGCAGGCCAGGAAAGCTGTGGCATTGGCAGCACGAGATCGCGGATGGGGAGGAACCGTTCAGCAGAGGCAGCCAAAGGCCACAAGCACATTTCGCGTACTCGTAGTCCCAATCCGTGTCGTAGGCACCGTAGTCCTGGTAGTGCAAGCCCTCCAAGTTGCCGTCCTGGTAGAACATGGGGCCCTTGCCCTTGCCGGTGCCGCCGCTGCCCTTGCGGTCTCTCTCTTCATACATGGAAAGTAGGGCCGCCCGGATCTCGTTGTAGGACAGGCGATTCCTGGTTGCCGCTTTGACCACTCTCCGATCTTCTTCACTGGCTGTAGCCATCTCCAGCAGCAACCAACCACGGATCACGTCTAAGGCCGCGAGTGGAACCAGACCTTTCTCCATCAGCCTCTCCAGCAAATCCTTGCCCCTCACCGTCGACTTCTTTCGCGTTGAGGACGACTGTGAGGATGTCGATGTTCTCCGGGCTGTAGGCGTGCCGTCTCCGCGACCTTTACCTTTTCCGCCTCTGCCTGGTTCTTCGTCCGGAGCGCCATCTGCTGTCTCTTCATCACGTGCTCCTTCAGCAGGTTCAGACTCTGCCCCGAGTTCTGACTCCACCTCATCCGCCGGGTAGTACACCGACATGTTCGGGTCAATGCCGCAAAAGGCCTTCAACTCGTCTACGTCCACGTTGTAGTTATCAAAGTCCAACTCCTTTTCTCGCAAAAGCCGCTGTAGTGCCTTCAGCATGTCACCGTGCACCTTGTCCTCCCTGATGAGAAATGCAGATACAGATTCGTGATTCTTCTTGTGGAGGCGCCTGTAGTATCCGCCGATCTTCGCACCTGCATCTGTTAATGGCTGCCGATTAAGGGGCGACTCCTCTAAGAACTTGATCAGCTTATTAACATCCGCCTCCGAATTGAAATCTTCCGGATCCAACTTGTACATCAGGGCCACCAATGCACTGTGGCTTGATTGCAATGCTTTGCGAACAATGCGAGCTGCAAGTAATGGCTTCTTCTCCTTCTTCGTGCTGCACAACGTCCATTTCACCTCGGTGATGAAATGACTGAAGCTCTCTGCTTTGCCGTCCCATGACGGCACCCACGTCTTGTCACTGACCGAGGTCCCGTGCTCCATGAGCACGCTCGCAGGTCCCTGATCTTGAAGCTCCGCGTAACCAATGTCTCATGCATCCGATGTCGCACCCATAGCGCGCACTGTTTCGCTCGCTTGCCGGCTTGGCTCAAAGGGCCACTGTCATGAATGCTAAGTTGCGTGTCAATCCATGCAAAGGGGTCCATGCTTTTAGCAATGTGTTTCCCCGCTATAGCCGATTTCGGCTGTCAAGACACAACAACCATACCGCGCTGCTGAGCAACTGCTGTGTAGGTGTAGGGTACTGTTGGAGGGTACTGGTGCGCTCAAGGTTGCTGCTCCATGTCTTGAATCACATGAACGTTCATGGCGTCCAAGCGTCTCCATAACATCCAACTGCAACTCTTGCTATCTGAAATCTATTCTGATCCCTGTTTGAGCGCTGAGAGCGCTCGGGGGGGGGAGGGGGCCGCCCCCCCCCCTTTCCAGGCGACAACCTGATTTGATAGTTGTTTTTTCATGTGCGAGCTGACATTGCCACTCCTTGAGGCCGAGCTTGGCACCTGTTTCATGACGAAAGCCAAGGTCTGCTCGAGCTTGTCCACCTTGGGATAGCGTCTCTCACGAGCACGGGACCCCGGCAACTTGCTTCATGCTGCTTCGTCTTACACAAGGCCCCCAAGACGTCAAGTCAAACAGGGAATTCCAAAACTGAACGCAACGCGGAAAGGTAAAACTGGACAGCGACGACTTGGCCAACCCTCGGTGGTGCGCTTTGGGCAGCGAGGAAAAAAAAGGAAAAAAACGTCCTCTGGATCCACGAAAAAACCGTCCAACCCCCCTTCATCTGTCCGTCGACCTGACAATCCGCCAAAAAACAAGTCAGGGGTTAGGGAGTCTCTCAAAATGCGTCAAGTCTTCGAAACATGTTACTTTTTCAATCCCCGGCCGCTTCGAGAGGTTTCGGCACGCTCGCATTCTCGTCTCGTTTGCCAGACTCATTGCCAGGGACTCCGAGCTTCAGGTCCCTTGGGTGTCCGATTTTGAAACAGAGCCATTCGCAGCCCTTCCAGACCTGCGAGTTCGCTCGAGGCCAAGAACTGTCTAAGGACACCCTGCGACAAATTCAAAGAGCTAAATGTGACAAGTCGACCAGACTTCCTGAGATGCATTGTTTCATGTCTCTGCGTATATATCCTGAACGAAAAACAACATATCCATCACCCCCACTTGCCCTTCGTTTTTCTGTTCTTTTTTTTAATGGGGTGAATGAAAATACCGTGCTATTTAGCATTCTTCCTTTTTCCAAAACGGGCCCGCTGTTTCTCGTCCCAGCCCCCTGGGCCATCGATTCGATCGACGCGCTTCAGCCCCGCACCCCGAGCAGGTCCTTCTGGTCGCTGAGCTCCTGCAACCTCGGAGCGTTCGAGTTCGTTTAGAAAACTCGATTTGATAGCCCCAATCTTTGAGGCCCCAAGAGTTGAGAAGAAAAGAAGCCTCAGACTGTTGATTTCAAATGCTCCAAAAGAATCTCTGGAAATAAACACGAGGACAAACGAGAACCGGTCTGCCCCTTGAGAAAACAGAAGTGAAAATCCCCAACGGCTGCCTTTCCAGAGCCTCCCTGTGCAGTGTGTGCGGCTCTTCGGAGTTGACGCTGCTTAGCCAAAGGATCGGAGTGAAATCGCAAAGGATGCGAGAGACGGGCCATGAACGCCAAGGTCTGACTCAATGCAGACAGCTTCAAAACACAGGCCGATAAGAACGTTTCACCTCTGGACCCATGGTTACGCCATCTACCTGCTCGCAACCTGCCTCACTCGGCACTAGGTGAGATGTTCAAAAGGTCTCTCGCGCACTCGAACACTTCGCTCCGCCAAATCCTGATTGGTTCTGCCAAATTCAGTCCAGTCCAAATGCAGCTGTTTGTCATGGAAATCTTCTGATCCAGTTTGAGGCCCGGTTGCCAAATTCGAAGCAAATCGCATCAAAGTTACGCAATTCTTTGGGGCCTCTCAACAGGATGCTCCGACTTTGAAGACAGCTTCAAGCACACTTCGCCCAAGGCTCCAGTTTTTAGCACCATTTTCCCCCTGGTTTGGAGCTGGTTCTTCTATCTTGTGTGCTCCGGGTCCCGAAAAGGAAAACAAAAACCGCCAAGGGGTCACAGGTTTATATCACCCGTCCCGTCCAAACCCCCGGGTCCGGTTTCCCGGATTCGCCTGTCCACCAAGGTCTGCATCTCATCGGGGTCCTCGGGGTTCGCCTCCAGAGCCTTCTCCACCTCCTCCATCTCGTCCATCACCGCCTCGTGACCCATAGGCCCCGGATGCTTCAGGGAGCGACCCCCGACTTTTCGGCTGGAAGTTCAGGGAGAGAAAAGCAAGGGAGATGGTCTTGAGGGGTTCACGAAAACTACCCCCGATTTTCGGCGTGGATTTCAAGGAGATGAGAGTAACAGAAAGGGAGATGGTCTTGAGGGGTTCACGAAAACTACAACCGATTTTCGGCGTGGATTTCAAGGAGATGAGAGTAAAAGAAAGGGAGATGGTCTTGAGGGGTTCACGAAAACTACCCCCGATTTTCGGCGTGGATTTCAAGGAGATGAGAGTAAAAGAAAGAAAGATAGTCTTGAGGGGTTCACGAAAACTACCCCCGATTTTCGGCGTGGATTCCAGGGAGATGAGAGTAAAACAAAGGGAGATGGTCTTGAGGGGTTCACGAAAACTACCCGATTTTCGGCGTGGATTCCAGGGAGATGAGAGTAAAACAAAGGGAGATGGTTTTGGAGGTTCAGAAATACGACCCCCGATATTCGGCTGTGATTTCAGGGAGATGAGAGTAAAACAAGGGAGATGGTGTTGGAGGTTCAGGAATACGACCCTCGATATTCGCTGGGAAATCAGGGAGACAAAAGAAAGAGACATGGTCTTGAGGGGGTCATGAAAACAATCCCCGATTTTCGGCTGGGAATTCAGGCAGACGAAAATAAACTAAAGGGAGATGGTCTTGGGGGGTTCGACTCCCGATTTTCGGCTGGCATTTCAGGGAGAGAAAAGAAGGGGAGATGGTCTTGAGGGGTTCATGAAAACTACCCCCTGATTTTGGGGCTGGGAGACCTGGGAGACAACAGATACAGGAATACTACCCCAGTTTAACTTGGAAGATGAAGATAAAACAAAGGGAGATGGTCTTGGACGTTCAGGAATACTACCCCCGATAATGGGGTTCAGGAAAAGCAGAATTGAAAACCAACAGGTTTGGGGGGAATTACAAAACAGCGAGACATGGACCTTCATTGCGATGGTCCACAGGTGACGAGAAGCGTCACGCTCCTGGGAAGGAGAGTTGGGGGAAAATGTCTTCAGGGATGCCGCTTTCTCTTGCCCAATTGCTGAGGTAGAATGCTTGGTCTAAGACACGTACGATATGAACGGCGGTTTGGAATGCCTGAACATCACAGGATTCCTGGATGGTACCTCAAACAAGGAAGATGGCTGTGGAACAGCTAAATACAAGTTGCTTAGTTACCTGCTTGACGGCAGACGCGATTTACTGGGATGTGGCAAACACCTCAAGTTATTGAAGGTGGGCAAAGAATCGCCTTTCTGGCAAGCACCTCCACACGTACACGTCATAGGACTTGCTACTGACGTGCCAACCATTGAACTTACACGCCATTACCAGTTTTGTCTCATTGTGCCAAGCGGCGTGACAATACACATGCAAGTTAAGACACGGAAATGGCGCAACAGCACTTAAGCGTTGTCGTGTTGCCAGCCAAGCAACAACATAACCATAGGCTGCTCAGCATCAAGAGCAATCACTTGGTGAGCGAGGTGCCAAACACAACCACAAAACCCACAAACCCATAAGCAAACACCAGCCAAACACATCGCCAAATCCGCATCGAGCAAAAGGGAGCAAAACTTCCGGCCTTCTGCTGCGGCACAGCGCTCAGAATCTCCTGCCGCAAGGTGTTCTCGAGGTTCAGGTCATCCACAAAGCTTTGCCTTGAGTTTGTTTGAGTCGCACGCTCCCTAGAGCCATCTGCCCAAAAACTCCGACACATCCGAAACACAAAACATACAAGGCACGAAATGTTCTGAATCCGTTCCGCGAAGAACAACGCCGGCTCGCCCCGCACATCGAGCGACTCGAGTGCAGACCGAGGAACTCCAAAATAGCGATCTTGGCATTTGGAGGGCCTTGGTCTTGGGGCCTTGCTGGGGGCGTTTCGAAAGGCGAAGCTTGGCTAAGATTTTGTTCGGGAAATCTATCCAAGTTTTGAGGATCCAATCCGACTCCACAAAGGGAACCGATAGGTAGGGAATGGCAACCAGTCCGAACCAGAAGGGGATTCCCTTAAAACAACACAACAAGTTGTCAATCAGTCAATCCGTTACTCATGCCTATCGCCCCAGCAACTTTTGTCGGTTGCACGTGGATGGGGCCAAGCCCACGGCTCTTCACCACCTGCCCCTGCTCCGGCGTGAGCTGTCCCAGCAGCACCCGCAGCTGCGTGGTCTTGCCGCAGCCTCAGCTGCAGTGTTGAAAGCGATCATGGCCTTTTTGTGTTTCGATGGGTATGTCTTGTCTGTTGAGGACCCTGCAAAATGGGTGGCTTCCTTTTGGTTTCTAACAATATATGTATATATGCATTGCATTTTAGGCACGCGTGAACCAGGTATAAAGGGTCATCTGCTCATCTGCATTTGCTCAGCTGCGTCTGCACCCACCAAGTACCAACATATCAAAACAACCTGTATATAGGCATCTGCTGCTTACTTTCTTGCTTCTGAATGAGAATAGGCATTCAAGTGCAATAAGTTGCTTATTCAATTCTATCACACCTCTAGAAAAAGCAACCGCAAATTGGTTTTAGCCCTGGTAAAGAGATTCAAAAATCTAAATTCTAGTTGACCCAGTAAATATATCTTTGGACTATTCTCTTGCTATGTAGCTATACAAGGAGTCGAACAAGCAGCTCTACACGAAGCTTCAAAAAAAGCTTTTCATAAGAAGTCTGAGAAGCAGCTTAACAAGTGTGCTTCAAAAGGAGCTTTGTAAGAAGCCTTTTAAGGAATTGCGAGCCACAAATGGAGCTTTTCAAAGAGCTGCGTAAACAGCTCCAAAATTAGCTTTACACGCAGTTTTACAAGGGGCCTTCTGAGGGGCTACAAGGAGTCTTAGCAGCTTTGCAAAGAGCCTTCTGGAGCGTTTCAAAGGAGCTTTACAAGGAGCCTTACACGGAGCCTTTTCACTAAGGTATAAGGAGCTTCAGAGATGCAGACACAAACAGAGGCGGCTGGTGAATGCTGAAGTTTGAGCTGAGCAGAAGCTACTTGATGTAGCAGCTGAGCAGAAGCTACTTGACGTTGCCCAAGGAATAGAATGCACCCCAACAAGCAGAAAACTAAACAAACTCGAGGAACGCAAACAAAAGCAAAAAACAAAAAACAAGAGAATGGCTGCTCTGGCCACATTTTTTTTGGGGGGGGTGTCTCAATTTGTGTGTTTTCCTTGAGCGTATTTTGTTGAGCTTCTGGGACCAAACAACCAAGAAAACAGTGTTCTTTGTTTTCATAGCCCTCACTCATCAAAAACCAAAATCCAACAATGTGGTTTTGTCTTTTTGGCCCCAAGAGCTCAAACAACAAAAAAAACTCCAGGAAAACCAAAAACAAAGACCTCGAGAAAACCAAACTAAAATGAGGCCAACCCAGCCATTATCTTGCTTTTGTTTTTAGCGGTGCTGTTTTTTCTTCTTTGAGTTTTGCTTGGGTGTCCGAGTTTGATTGTCCGGTTTTGAGCCATTGGAGAGAGAAAAAACGTGGTTCTTTTAGTTTTGGATGAGTAAGGTGAGATGCAGCAAAACAAATCCAGCAAAAGAGTTGTGGCATCCTATCTTTTGGCAACAAGAATTCACTAGCAAAAGGGGAGATGCAGCAAAACAAATTCAGCAATGAAGGGATAGCAACCATTGCAGCTTGACTGCTTAGCTTCCTTTCCATTTTGTGTTTTTAGGCTTGAGGTATTTGATGGTTATTGGTAGTCAAAAAAACTGCAAACACGGGATGTTGTTTACACTTTGGCAATAAGGTACAAACACTTAGTGCTCTTTGCACTTGTAACTTCTGAGAAGCATTTGTTGCAGACCAAAATTCGGCCTAGGTTGTCCTTTGCAACAAACAACTGTGAATACAAAGGTGAGTTGAACTAGAGTAGTTCATGGGGGGAGTGACCATGTATATACATGTACATATATATGTACATACGTATAGTATCCACCCGAACTTCCCCCCCCAACCCGAAAATTACTTCTTCCCTTTGGTCTGGTGGGAAAAGCTGCGTGTTCAATGGCTAAATTGTATCTTTTCACGGCTACAAGTACGAAACATGCAAACATGGCATTCAACTGGGGCAAGACCTGCTCAGGCTTCAGGTGCTTTAGGCCCTTATGTAATATTCCTTCCACCTGGCCCAACCTTTGCGTCGCGCGCATTGAGCGAGCTCAGTGAAGGTTTCTTGGTTTATTACATGGGCCTTTCAAGGCGCGCAGAGAAGCGCGGTCCAGGAAATGGGGGCTAGCACGCCTCAAAACGGATTTTGCAGTAGCTCTTGCAATCCAGGCGATTCGAAATGCCAGTTTTTGATCCAACTTGACATACCTTTGCAGACGAAAAAGGAGGCACCCTACTTCTGTTTAGGATCACACACTTACATCTCTTAGTCCCCTTTTCATGGGATAACAACCAGTTCCTCCCACCAACATTGAACCAACCACAGGGTTTCTGAGAAAAATGGCAACCCCCATGGCAACCACTTGGTTCCCCTCCCCCCAAGACCCACTTTTCTCTCGGCGAAAACAAAGTTGCTGTTGACCCTTCTGCAAAAAGTGAATAACTGACTGACTGCCTGTCCAAAAGTCCCAAGATCCGTTACCAAATAGCTGGGGAGCGAGAGGGAGAAAAGCCCAGATAAGCCCTAAATAAGGCCAAATTCGCCTCAAATTGGGCTCCTTTGGCCCCCCCCCCCCAGCCTGTCGCAGGCGGTCGGAACTCCGACATCTACAGTGGACCTACATATCACAAGCAAACCAACCACACCCACCCTCTTATTAGGAAGGGGTTAAGGTTAAAGGCCCACACCACCGGGATCCGATGCAAATCACTGGGTTTATTCATCAGGTATGAATCCCAGATCCCAGATACCCTCCAGTTGCTGAGGTGCCCTGGAAAAAATGTGAAAATATGTCCAGTAGTGGCAGATTCCCTTCAAAAACGGTGGATAATCAGAACTCCATAGAAAACCAACATATTCACCAGAGGATTCCCTTCAAAACCAACGGGGGAAAATAGAACGTATTCACCAGAGAACTCCAACTTCAAACCCAAAACTTCCTCCAGAGAAACCATTGGCGCCCACCAGCGCCAGCTTCTCCCCCGTGCGCACAGTCCAAGAGGCCTCACTGCCAGGCGTTTGCCCGTGACGTTTTCCTTTTCTTGGCCCCGGGAGCGAAGGTGTTGCTTGGTTGCTGCAACGACCCTCCTGCAAAAAGTTGACCACTTTTTGGGGTTTTTTCCACTTGATTTCAACTAAAAAGTTAAAGTCTAAAGATCCAACCCAATAGCAGTCAAGGTTGGAGAACCGAAAGGTGCCATATCGCCGGACGTGTGGTCTCCAAGGCGTGAGCAGTACCGACGGTATCGGGGGGATTTGAACCGCCTGATGGCCCGGCCAGGTCAATACCATCGCGCTTCTCCATCGCCTCAAAAACTGCCATATCAATAAGCATGTAAGGCTTACTTTTTTTTAACTGGAATGAGGAATGGAATGAGAATAGGAAGCATCTTCTGAAAACATCAGCTCAGGTGATGTCCCCCACGCGGACTCGAAACCTTTCCTCAGAACCCTCACGGAACTCTAGCTTTCAGCAGTTGGGGAAAAATTGAGTATGTTCATGACTAGCAGTTCTTCATCAATATTGCTGAACAAATCCTAGTACATCCCAAACAAAAAGTAATCTTGTACCAAACAGTATCAAACCGTCCAACTGGTTTCCTTTAAGGGTGCCAAAGCCTGGGATCAAGGTTGGACCCCCAATGGGTGAAGCCATGGGACCATGGCCAAGGCTGCCCTTGTGGAACCCCCAAAGGGAGAAAGGGAAATACTCAAACAAATAACTAAACAAATACATAAATAAGCAACAGAACAAAAAAAGATATCAACACAAATTCGGCACCCCCACCCAGGGATCTACCTTCCTTTAGGTATGTGCAACGTGGTTCGCTTTTGTTTGTTGCACATATATATATATATATATATACACACATACATCTATATATATACGCACATCCATCATTCAATCGATATGGAGGTTTTTACACCCGTTTTCTCTTGGGCATAGTGACCCTCTTAGACTCACAGCAAACGCCTTCCTTCCGCCTTCCGCCTTCTAGCCTGCGCGAGCTCTTGGAATGGATGAGCCATGTGGAGGCAAGTGAACATAGGCGTCTTTTTAAGTAACAAAACCAATCTACGTGCCATTTTTAATCTACACCAATCTAGTGAACATAGGTTTTAAATAACAGTGCCATCTGTCTAACCAAACCAACCTAAGTGTAGAGAGCTGGGAGACGGTGAAAAGTGTAGCTTGACGGTGTCATCGCTACTGCGTTGGTGAAATGAATATCCAAGAATCCAAGACTCCCAAAGGCATCTCAGCGGGTCTGTTGGGCTTGGTGACTTGGAAAAAGAAATGTTATTCAACTATTCATTCCCAATGGAAAAAAAACGGTGGTTCACAACCTGCCAATGGACAAGATCCGCTTTGCACCAGGGATGGATGCCTACCGGATAAGCCACCAATCCCAACTGGGCAACTGGGCCTGGGTGTTGCCGGGGGAAATACTTCAGTCATTTGAGTCACTTGCTGCTCAAAACCCGGGTAATTGTAGGGTAAGGGACAATCCCAACACGGGTGCAGCATTCCGCCTTCTTAATTCTTTACATGGCTGCGGGTCAAAACCAATGGTACCATTTTGGTGTAGGTGCACCACCCATTTTAGTCTATTCTAGTGGGGATTGGGATGTTCACTGGGGGTAGGGGATGTTGACCCATGGCCACATGGTTCTGCGCTTACGACCATTTTCATACCGATCGGTTTTGACTATTTGGCCGCGGCGCGTCCTGGAGGATCATCCGACCCCCCAGGCGGACAGCCACTTCCTTGATGCCCACGGTGATCTTGCCTGCCCGAGCCGAGGTGCCCGAAATCAGGTGGGTCACTTGCTCAAAACCCCGGGTGTTTTGAAATGGGTCCATGAATAACTGCCAGAATGTCTTGTTTCCCCAGCAAAGGGACATGAGTCAGAATCAAAACCGATCGGTACAAAAATGGTCGTAATCCCAGATAATCCCAGAACCATGCTTCAAGAATCAAGAAGGCGGAATTCCGCAGCTATTTCTGGCTGGGACTGGCCCTTACTAACCTTCATCTACCCGGGTTTTGATGGTGGCTCAGATGACAAAGCCTGTATTGTTATTTTGGGAAACCATGGGGGTTAGGGATGGACATGCACAACATCCTGTCACATCTTCAGTTGAGCGTTGGTTTTTATTCCCTACAAACTTGCTTGGACATTATTCAAGCTTCCGCGGACCCTTCCGCATCCTTGCCGCGGGCCAAGAGGTCGCTTCCGCGAAGCGGTACATGTGCTTCATTGTTTGCTTCCGCAAACCTTCCGCGGGGCATGGTTTACAAGATTTGCTTCCGCGAGTATTGGCGCAGAAAGGAATGTTATTTTAAGTGAGGTAGTGTTTCGCCGCAGCGTGTGTAGGCTTGGGCTCCATTGGGCTACCCATGCTATGTGGCCACTTGCCTGCAAACACGGGGCCGCCCTTCCGCGGAGCTGGCTTGCTGTTGGCAACTGCTCTTCCAGTAAGCGTTGCGTTTCTTGTACGCAGCAACACCTTTTCTTCTACGTAATCGTTTCTACGAGCTTTTCCATGCACGGACTGAAACTATTCGTTGTATATCAGCCACAAAGCTTCCGCAAACCTTCCGCGAACAAATCCCTTCCGCAAACCTTCCGCATGCTTCCGCGCGTGTGGCGCGGTGCACATTTTCAAGAAATAATGTCCCTCTCCCTACTAAATAAGCTTGGGGCTAAAAAAAACGCCGCTCATTTGTGAATTTAGTTCGGTACACGGCCTGGTGTGACCTCAAAACGGAGCCCTTCGTCACAGTTGCCACAGCTTGTGTGCCCAATCTCAACCATCTCAGCTCAATCTTCACATAGCCAATCTTCTCTGCATTTAAATCATGGTAAGGGAACCAAGGCCACGCGACCGCGGGCTTGCGACCCAATCGGCGCCTTCTACCTCGCCTCTTTGGAGGAAGCTAAAGTCCACCTAGCGAAAAAGGTCCACTTTGAGAACTCAATCCGACGCGCAACGAAAAGAGAGGCCAAGCCAAAGGATCAAAAGGTCTGTATCGAAATCAGCTGTTCGGAACCAAAATGAAAGCTTCATCACCTGGGGTCCAGCTCATTTTGAGAAGCCGTTCAAAGGCCATAGCGTGCCAGGTGAGTGTATGAGTGTGTGTGTGCCTGGTCGTCTGCTCCTCTTCTGCCTTAGCGCAAGGAAGACCGCGCGGATGGCAGGATGGCATGAGATTAAACGGGTCATGATGAGCAAATCCACTTCGTACCAGTTTGGATGGCAGGACTTTGTCCAGGGAAATGGGTTCAAGATCCCTCGACAGGTTGTCAATCTCAGAAATCTCAGAGAGTTCATGAAATCATTAATTAAAGCAATGCTTTGCACACGATGACGCAACATAACATCCCTCTACAACAATGTTGCCGAGTACCGAACCCAATACAAACATTCCACAATGTCTGATCAAGCGGAAAGGCAACTCCAAAATGAAGAAACATAAGGGCACCTCAGCTCGGTTGCTTTCTGCCCCCCTGCTAAAGTTTAACTTTTAGTGGTTTAACGGAAAACCCATTTGTTGGCAAAAAGTTAAAGTCCTAACATCCCTTGGCAAAATGCAAAGTCAGAAAGCTGTTCCAGAACTTCATCGCCGCATCATCTGTCCATTGAGCAATCGAAAATACATCATGTGCCGCAGAACTCTCTGCCCGTGCCAAGGTGCGCTTGACAGGCTCTTCTTCCTCCTGCCGCATATCTCACCCCTTACCCGGACCCCGGAAATCCGAATGGTCGAGCTTCTTTTGGTGTGCCCTTTTTCGATTCAACCCCAGTTTGCAGGCTGATTTCAATGGAAGCCAAAGAGAAAGCAACTCTTGGGGGGTGTTGTTTCACCTATCTTCGGTGTACAAATGAGACACTATAATCACCCTGCCTTGGGGGTTGTTGATTGCCTTGGAGAAGTTGGTGTTCTCCGCATAGAAGAATGTTTCTCGGATCATCCCACATGACATGCCAGGCCCTGCGCTCTCCTCCTCCTCCTCGTCATCGGAATCCGGCGCATACTCGTCTTTCCAGTCGTCCCGATCAGCCTAGGACAAAATGGGCTTTGACGTGGGCTTCAAAGGAAAAGGACAACCTCCAACTTTGAAGCGCTCTCCAACTGCGTTCAGCGGCCCCGTCTCAGGAGCTGTGCTTGAACTTCAGCTCACATCGCTGGGGAAAAACCACTTCTGGGAGGGAGCCAAATCAGAAAGCCATGCAGCGCGTTTGCCCGCCACTCCCTTCTTGACACCAAAGAACTCGAATGTTTGTAACCAACATGTCTTGGACGTCCCGGCCTGTGAGACTGCGTTGCCCAACAAACAATAGAAACAACTGCCTTTCCATTGCGTGACTCTTGTCTTGGTTGACGTTGGAAGGGGAGCAACAATTTGACTTTTTGCAGTTAAGTGGTTGGATTTCCCACTAAACCACAATCAGCAAAAATGTAAAATGCTTCCCAACAACAATGTTATCAGGTTGCTGCCACAACTGGCAGCAGTGCCGGAAGCAGAGTGCCGGGCCAGTTTCAGCCGGTAATACGCGTCCGGGTCCACCTCCTGTACCTCGCTCCGAGCGTAGTGCTGTCAAGGGGTGAAGTTGGCCAGTTTCAGCACGAAATCCAGTCAAAAAACCGGCATGCGTTCTGTCAGAATGTGTCTTCTTGCTGAGCAAAACATGCATTTCACCTAGGTCTCTGGAGACCTGGTGTGTTGCATCCCCTGAATCATTGAGGTCGGTTCCGGAGTGTGTCGTGCGTGCGCGCCTGCGTGCATGCTTACAAGCGTGCGTGCAAACGAGGCGGCCGGGCAAGCGCATGTGCATGCGTACGTGCGTGCGTCTGTCTATCTGCCTGCCTGCCTGCCCTCTCCGTTTCTGTCTCTGTTTGCCTGCTGTTCTTCCAGCTCTCTCAGTCTGTGCGTGACATGAGGACTCGGACATTCCCTCACAAAATCCTGGGAACAGTCGCTCAGACACTGCATTTGCTGTGTCGTCCGCGCCTTCCTTCTGCTGCGCTCATCTTCTTGTCCTTGCCCCAAGGTCCCTGCTTCGGGTCCATGCCAAAAATATCAGGAAGCTAGGAGGAGAAGCCAAGTTCGGACAACAAATCAAAGACGAACCGACACTTCTCACTTGCTCGGTGACTATGTAGGATTTGTTTTGGGGGCATCTTTTTGAATCACCCTGCCCAGTAGTACGCATAGCCGGACATGATATCAAGTCAAACAACTGAAACGCAACGCAGCTCCCACTTAGCGGCTTCCAGTTTGAAGCAGGGAAGACACAACCCCACGGGAGCCCCCGCCCGCTCACTCGGAGCATTCCTCGCATCAAGACCAGGCGAGGCTCCATCTAAAGCATCGCTTGGCTTCCAAGACGTCCCCATGTTGCGCAAAATGGTTGCTTAATCGGAGCGCCTTTCGACTAAGATGGTTTGTCCCACACGAAAGAGTCAAACCCGTTTGTTAGGCGGCTATGTATGCTTAGGCAGCGTGAGATTGTGCTGGGCCTTGCAATCTTCGAGCGCAACTCGCGAGTCCCGAGGCGAGCGTTTCGCGCGCTCGCCAGTGACCTCCGCGTCGACAAAGTCGGGCGAAGTCGCCGAGTCGCTGTCGCGAGGTTCAGGCAGCGAACATCTGGGGCGCTGTTGTCACCACAGCAGTTTGCCGAGATGAGCCGCTGTTGGACATCTGCCTGCACACCCCAAGATCCCTCCCTGTGGTTGAGGGTTTAGGGTTGGTACAGGGTGGGTTTATGGTTGGCTTGTGGTTGGTTTAGCCTGATTGAGGGTCGGTTGGGGTTGCTGGGGCGGGCGTACGGTTGGGTTGGGTTTAGAGTCGAATTAGGGTTGTTTTAGGTCGGGTTCAGGGTGGATGTTTGGCTTGCTTAGGGCTGGTTCAACCCAGGGCCGAGGGGGTGGGTGGGGGTGAGTACAGCAGGCTCGGGCGAACAAAACACAGCTCGGCAGTGAGTACGACCAGGCAGAGGGTGAACAAATGGAGGTGAGGGGTTGAGAAAGGATTCCTGCTCTTAAAAACAAGCTTCCCGCTCAGAGGGTTCCCAAGCAGGGCTTGAGGGTTAAAAAAAGGATGGGTTTAAAAAAGGATGGGTTAACAAAAACAAGTTTGGCGGATGAAAAAAGGTGCCCGTCACAAACAGACACACAGACACACAGACACACAGACACACAGACACACAGACACACGGACACACAGACACACAGACACACGGACACACAGACACACAGACACACAGATACACGGACACACAGACACACAGACACACAGACACACGGACACACAGACACACAGATACACGGACACACAGGCACACAGACACACAGACACACAGACACACAGACACACAGACACACAGACACACGGACACACAGACACACAGACACACGGACACACAGACACACAGACACACAGATACACGGACACACAGACACACAGATACACGGACACACAGACACACAGACACACAGACACACGGACACACAGACACACAGATACACGGACACACACACACAGACACACGGACACAGACACACAGACACACAGATACACACACACACACACACACAGACACACGGACACACAAACACACAGACACACAGATACACAGATACACACACACACAGATACACGGACACACACACACACACACACACACACACACACACACACACACACACACACACACACACACACACACACGCGCGCGCGCGCGCGCGTGGCATGTTCTCCCACGCAGGTCCTCGTGGAGCCTGAGTCATCTTTCCGATCCTTGGCAACTTTTGCTCGCTCCAACTCTGCCGGTCACGCACTGAAGCCGATCGCCCACACCCTGCCGCAACCCGTGTAAGCGGGAGCAGTGCTTCCTAACTCCCGGGCCTGTTCCCCAACGCTCGAAGACTGATGTCGCCTTGTACGGATGACGGATTGTGTCCTTTGGTTAGGACAAGATCCAAGCTTCTTGCTCAAGATTGCTGGGACCCGAGTCAATGCTTCCAATCGGTCAATCGCAACAGGCCCGCTACTCTTTTTGAGCCTCCTTCTCTTGGCAGGACTAAAACCCGAGATGCTAGATGTGCTTCTACCTGAGAAGATGCAACTATCCACCTGCCAAGGAGCGCGTCAAAGGGATCATCAGGCTCCTGGAAAAACATGCCGATCCGTCGGACAAGTGGAGAAATCGAATCACTCTCGGTTTCAGCTTGACCTGTCCACGGCCCGTGTCATTTGCTGTTTGGAGGCTTCCAAACGCGTTCCTCCGAAATCCGCCTCAAAAAACATCGAGACATCTCTGGGGGTCAACTCCCAGCCTCGTCGTCGCTGTCGGGGAAAAGGTTCGCGAAGGACTGCGGCCAGGTTTCTCCGGAAATTCCACCAAGTCCGTCCCCCCCTCATTCCCCCCCAAGTCCCCCCCAACGCAGCAAATGGGTTTGGATGCTTGGCCCTGCCCCAAGAGGACTACAAAGAGCTAAACAGGGGAGTGAAACTTCAGGAGAAAACACCAAAACTGCATCCAAGCCATGCTCCAGATTAAAGCCGGGCCCCCAAAACACGCGACTATCATTTTGTCAACTCATCACTGGCAGTGGTGTCCTTCATTAAAATATTCACCCCGCAATTCGCAGGCTCCCAACCCAAGACATCGCACTGGAAAGTCTGCCAGCGCCTCTGACATGCCTGGCTCCTGCTTGTCGACACGAGTTTCAATGATTTTTCCTGATGAAGCTGCATGATTTTGCATTGAGCCCGTCAGCTTGCAACTTCATGAGAGGGGATTCGTTTGAGTACTCAACAGAACATCGGCATAGGCTGGTGAGCAGATGGGACTGCAGATCAGTTCAAGGCCAGCGTATGGGGAAATGATGGGCGCCAGGCTGGTTCCCTCAAGGATATGCCAAACTGATGATAATCAGGCACCATCGTAGAATCCTTTCGTGAGTCATTCCACACAGCAAGTCCGACGCACGTGTTTCAATCTGACTCGCTCTGTGTCCTGAAGCACGTCCGAAAGAAGACTGACCACCTTCGCGCACAGTCTGGCAAGCCATTCGAGAGACAGGGGATTGCACGAAGGAAAGAGAGACCACTGGGAGAAAGAAGTAGCAAAGGCTGCAAGGAAGTGACGAGAAAAAGGAGGGTAAAGGAGGAAAGAGCCACCAACAGGAAAATTAAATCAGCTTGCAAGAACAAAAGGGGAACAAACAAAGGACGGCCGCGCAGGTACCCCCGAAAACCTGTTTGGTTTCTTTCATCGCAACAAGACCAACCTGCCATGCCCAGCCGAGAGAACAGCTCGAGGCTTCTGAAATGCGCCTCAGACTGAGTCGCAGCATCAGCCTGCAAGCCGAGCAGGAATCCGCCGACCCCACGCCTGGTCCATGGACCCTGCTTTTGGCATGGGCGGTGTGTTCTGCGTTGATGTTGGTTTCTCGATTTTCTCTAAGTTGGATGTGTATAACATGTCCCTTGGGACGGGAAAATACGTCGGCTGGATTTCTGGACTCCTGGATTTCTGGATTCCTGAATTCCTGAATTTCTGGATTCCCCCCCCCTCCCCCCCCCCCGGTAAGAGGGAATAGTATGTGTTATATGACCCGGCAGATATGTCAGTCTTCCAAAGTGCTGTTTTCCGAACTTTTGCAATTATGTCATTGGATGAGAATGATGGTGAAAATGATGATGATGATGATGATGATGATGATGATGATGATGATGATGACGATGACGATGACGATGACGATGATGATGATGATGATGATGATGATGATGATGATGATGATGATGCTGAGAATGAGGTTCATGGATGAACATGATGATGGAAATGATAATAAACATGATGATGGAACATGATGATGGAACATGATGATGATGATGATGATGATGATGATGATGATGATGATGATGATGATGATGGAATGATGAAAACAAAATGATAAAGATGATGATGATGAACATGATGATTGGGGGGGTAGCCTGGACCCCCTGCATGTTTCATGTGTTTCCGATTTTTTCATTTGTAAATTTGTTATTATTTTCAATTTTGTTAATGTTTGTCGTTGTTTCAGCTTGTTTGAATCAACTGAATTGAAACAATCGTAGTCTTTGTGTTGTCATGTTTTGCATTTATTGACTCGTAGTCTTCATGGTTCGGACCGGACCCTTGGGACCTGCCACCCAGATTTGTCCGTTGTTTTGTTCACTTTCTTTCATGTGTCCCGTTTTTTTGCATGTTTCTCAATCAATGGAAATAATTGGCAAAAAACTCCGTAGTCCTTGCGTTTTGATTGCTTCCAATTCTTTCAATTACTGACTCGTGGTCTTCGTGTAGTCCTTCCTCGGAAGACAACCAGTCAATCATTGAAATGATTGAAACAATTGAAAACACACAAAGACTACAGATTTTTCATGTTTCTTTTCAATTATTTCAAGAATTGGATGCACAGGATAGGTGGAGTCTCGCTTCCTTCATCCCCCTTCTTTTGTCCAATTGTTTTCTAAAGAAAGCCCTCTGAGCCCTATTGGGAGCGGCGGAACCAGGCCGGAGGCCATGCAATAATTTCCGGAACTAGCCACGCTAAAAAACCTCGTCCGTTCTGACAAGCGCCAACGAAACGACACACTGCCCCAAAACTAATACTGCAATCCCAGGGCAAAACCATCTAGTCCGTAAGTGCTGTGAATAGGCTCCCCCTGCGTTTGGTCAAAGCATTGTAGTCGCTATACTATCTATACTCATCAGTCACCAACCCCAATTTGTGAGCAGCATCCCCAAACTAGCAAGCACTGATGAGCTCTTCTAAACCAACAGTTTTGGGGCACGGTCACTTGCGACCTCCATCTTCGGCTCCTCCTTCTCTGCTTTCTTGACAGCCTAGAGCATGCATAGCATGCCGCGTGACAAAGCACTCGCACTCTTTCCAGTGCTGCGTTCAGCCAAGCATGGCATGCTCCTTGACAAGACTTGATGATAGTCAACTTGCCAGATTGCATACAGCGAGGCACACATATGATATACCAAAGCACACCTCGCAGCTCTGAACATGGAACGATAGAGACTCCCAGCGATTGTTGCCAACAGGCTTGAGGCTGCCACCTTCTCCTCCGGCCGCTTCTTTGAAACCTGTTCGGAGGACCAAACTGCGCAGGCCATGAAAAACCGCCAGCACAGCAGGTTGCCGCGTTGTCGGCTTGCCATGTTGCACCAGCTTCTGCAATGCGCCTCTTCTTTGGAAGTCGCAGCATCCCCTGCCTGCCACACACTCCAGAACTAGCTACACCTTTTGCCACGTCCGGTCTCCAAAGAAAAGACAAACTGCCCAAAGCAAATACTGGAAAGCCAGGGCGACTTCACTACTCTATTCATCTAGATCGAGCTTCGCTTGCTGCATTCAGCCGCAACCCTGAAACGGTATGAAGAGCTTCATCCAGCATGTGCTCACAAAAGTGTACTCACTTAGTCGCTGTACTAATCAGTTGCCAAAAATCCAATTTGAGGCAGCATCCCCAAACTAGAAAGTACTGATGAGCTCTGCTAAACAAACAGTTTTGGAGCACGGTCCCTTGCGACCTCCATCTTCGGCTCCTCCTTCTCTGCTTTCTTGGCAGCCTAGAGCATGCATGGGATGCCGCGTGACAAAGCATTCGCACTCTTTCCAGTGCTGCGTTCAGCCAAGCATGGCAGATTGCATACAGCGCCTCGGGAAAAGCAAGCGCCAAGACAGAGGCACAAATACAATATACCAAAGCACACCCAGCTCTGAACATGGAACGATAGAGACGCCCAGCGATTGTTGCCAACAGGCTTGGGGCTGCCACCTTCTCCTCCGGCCGCTTCTTTGAAACCTGTTCGGAGGACCAAACTGCGCAGGCCATGAAAAACCGCCAGCACAGCAGGTTGCCGCGTTGTCGGCTTGCCATGTTGCACCAGCTTCTGCAATGCGCCTCTTCTTTGGAAGTCGCAGCATCCCCTGCCTGCCACACACTCCAGAACTAGCTACACCTTTTGCCACGTCCGGTCTCCAAAAAAAAGACAAACTGCCCAAAGCAACTACTGGAAAGCCAGGGCGACTTCACTACTCTATTCATCTAGATCGAGCTTCGCTTGCTGCATTCAGCCGCAACCCTGAAACGGTATGAAGAGCTTCATCCAGCATGTGCTCACAAAAGTGTACTCACTTAGTCGCTGTACTGATCAGTTGCCAAAAATCCAATTTGAGGCAGCATCCCCAAACTAGCAAATACTGATGAGCTCTGCTAAACCAACAGTTTTGGAGCACGGTCACTTGCGACCTCCATCTTCGGCTCCTCCTTCTCTGCTTTCTTGGCAGCCTAGAGCATGCATGGGATGCCGCATGACAAAGCATTCGCACTCTTTCCAGTGCTGTGTTCAGCCAAGCATGGCATGCTGCTTGATGAGACTTGATGATAGCCAACTTGCCAGATTGCATACAGCGCCTCGGGAAAAGCAAGCGCCAAGACAGAGGCACACATATGATATACCAAAGCATACCTCGCAGCTCTGAACATGGAACGATAGAGACGCCCAGCGATTGTTGCCAACAGGCTTGGGGCTGCCACCTTCTCCTCCGGCCGCTTCTTTGAAACCTGTTCGGAGGACCAAACTGCGCAGGCCATGAAAAACCGCCAGCACAGCAGGTTGCCGCGTTGTCGGCTTGCCATGTTGCACCAGCTTCTGCAATGCGCCTCTTCTTTGGAAGTCGCAGCATCCCCTGCCTGCCACACACTCCAGAACTAGCTACACCTTTTGCCAC